GACAGTTGCTCTATATTTTAGTAGTAATTTTGATGTGATTGTGCAAGGAGGCAAGCCATGTTTACCTATGCTGCCATCTTGACCAGAAGTCCGTCATGTAGCTTTCAAGGTAACAGAATTTGCAGGGGAATGTGGATGCTTCCCAGAGCCAGCCCACATGCTGCAGGGAGTAGCAAAGCCCAGCAGGTGGAGCCACAACATGTCTGAGTGCCCATGATGAGCCAACCTAACAGTGGGCATTTGGAGGCAGTTTCATTTTATTTGGAATAAAACAGGCAATGTGAGGTCTCATAACCAGTATTTACAAACTTGATTCTCTCTGTTGGGGGATAATAAAAGGAGACACTCACACAGGACAGGACAGCAGAGAAAGTGAATACTGACTGGTGCTGTGTCCCTCAGGAATCCTGGCTTCAGGGCTGTCTTTTCCCTTGGGCTGGGCTGGCCTGGCCTGGCCGGGGACCATTTCTTGTGGCCAGCTCCCACTTTCTGTACTCCCCTATTTGTCCCATTCTCGGTGCACACAAATCTGTGTCTCCTTTGCCCACAGGTGAAATCTGAAAAGTCCTTGTTCTTTATCAAGCCATGCAAATTAAAGTTTTTATCTGCCTCATTTGCCACTATTCCAGACTATTTCTGGAGACTGTTTTGCATAAATTAAAAGGTTCAGGAAAGGCTTTCTCTCATGAAAGTTACTTTACCTCAGAAGGAATTTGCTCCTGTAGAATGAAAATTACTACAGTCATTTTTTTGGGGGGGGGCAGGGGAGGAGTGGGTATACTTTAAAGAATGTTAAAAAAAATCTTTTAGAAAAAGAGACCATAGTTTTGTCTGGAAAAACTCTGTATTGTGAGAATGTCACTTCTTTCTAAATTACTATCTATATCAAAATAAAATTTGGATGAATCCAATGTCAAACATTTTTAAAATCTATAATAAAACTAAATTATAATTAATTTGGATAGTTTTGCAAACTTTGAGAGGAGTAAAACATTCCAGAATTTATTAAAAATACTTGTCTGTTTTTATTTTGCCTATCCAAAGTTAACATCATTGTATTTAAGAAAGTCCAAATAGACTAGCTTAAAATTTTATAACAATTATGAAAGCACAGGATTACATCTTAATTTAAGAAAGAACTCATATAAATGTAAACAAAGCAGAAGGGCTCTAATGTATAAAAGGACAAAAGTTTGGGCATTTAGAAGAAGAAGAAATACCACTAGTTAATAATTACATAGAAAGTGTCCAAACTCTAATAATTAAGTGAATTCATTTTTTTAAAAAAAGACTACTTTTACTTCCAAACTAGCAAATTTTTAAAAAACATGTATGAACACACTGGTGAGTAAAACAGCACTCTTCCATGTCAGTGAGAGAGATATAAATATGACCTTTAGCAATTATTCATAAAGGCCCTTTAATGATTCTATTTCAGGAGGGATTTATGCCAAGGAAATAATCCTAAAATTTACATATAATTAACTGTAGCATTAGTCATAAGATCACAACTTAAAAAAAAATCTTTACACCCAACAGCAAGATACACTCATTCTATGGAATATTACACATTTTAAGATGATATTTAAAATAATCAAATAACAGCACAGAAATCCTTATGATGGCATACAAAAGGCAGTGTTGGTAAAAATAATATATATATGGCTAATCGAAGTGTTAACTAGGAAAGCAAACATTTAAACATAGTTTGTCACTACACACCCGTTAGACTGACTGAAACTAAATAGACTGAAAATACCAAATGCTGACAAGAATGTGGCACAACAAAAATCCTCACAAAAGGCTCATGGGAGTGGAAACAGTACAACACCTGTTTGATTCCATGGAAGAACACTAAAGACAGGCGTGCCCAGTGGCCCAACAGTCCCACTCACAGGTAAGGAACCCAGACGAACCCCTGCACGGGGCCCCAGGGCACGAGAGTGGGCAGGCATGCTCACGGCAGCAGTGTTCGGAGGGACCACAGACTGGGGACGCCCACCGCTAGCAGGATGGGTGAATTGTGGGTCCATCCAGCCTATTATGAGATATGAGGTAGAACACAGTAAAGTGAACAAATGAGAGTTAAACATCACAGTGTAAGTTATTTTCACAAACATAATGTTGAGGGAAAGAAGCAAGTCATGAAAGAATGTGTTTATTAATTCATGTGTATAAAGTTCAAAAATGAATGAAACCAAACTATATTGTTTAGTGATGTAAACAAAGGTGACAAAACTATAGAGAAGTGCAGGGACATGAGCATCACAAGAGTCAGGATAGTAATTACTTCTGGCAAGATGGAGGAGTTGTGATACAGAAGGATATGTAAGTCAGTGGAGGGATTCTCTGGGTCTGAGAGCGTCTGACTTTTTTCTCGTCTTGTTTCATCTTTTCTTTTCTTGTGCTTGATTTATTGCCCTGGGATATGATGACATAGGTGATGGCTTTTAAAAAACTGCACGTATGTATTTTTATATATTATGTAATGCATGTTATGGGTTGAACAGTGTCCTCTCTCCCAACTTCCTCAAAAAGGAGGTATGTGAAAGTCCTAGTCCCAACACTTCACTATGTGACTTTTACAGAAATAGGGTTGTCGCAGATATTAATTAAGAGGAGGAGCAGGGTGGGCCTCTGAGGCAGTATGACTTGTGCCCTCATAAAGAGACAGTCCTGTGAAGGCAGAGACACAGAAGGCCATGTGAAGAGGGAGGCAGACCTGGGAGTGGCATTTACAAGCCAGCCAACACCAGGTATTGCCTGCCATCACCACAAGCTAGGAGAGAGGCAGAAGGCTGATCCTCCCTTAAAACTCTCAGAAGGAGCCAACCCTGCCCATGCCTTAATTTTAAACTTCTAGTCTCCAGAACTATGTATAAATTTGTGTTGTTTTAAGCCACCTAATTTGTGGTACTTTGTTACAACAGCTCTAGGAAACTAATATATTGTGTTTCTGCATTAAAAATATTTTTTCAAAAAATTTCCCAAGAATTTATGTTTATGTTCTCTAATTTCTTGACTAAATCACAAAATCTACAACTAAAAAGTAGTCACATCATCCTACTTTATATATTCCCTGGAAATATGAAGGCCCTCCAAGACACAGTTCAAACACTATAGAAGTAAGGGTCTTCTATTCAGAAAGGAGAACTGGGCAGCCTCTCCAGTTGTACTAGAGGGTCAAGGATCAATTGTACATGTCCAAGTACATTTAAAAACAAAGAATGCGGTTTGTTCTGAGTTGGCCTGTAGAATTTTCATCTCAACCCTTTGATTCCCTTCCTTACCGGAAATTCTCCCTCGTTTGAAGTGACTCTGAACATCAGTTCTGGGAAGACATTCTTATTCATTGTGTTTCACTCCAGAGAAAGGAAGGGCTGACCTGACAGGAGGCTGGACCCAGGACTTCTCTGGGGCAGAATACTGATGAACACAGATGGCTTCATGAAGGACAGTCTTTGGTTATAATTCTGCTTTCTGCAAATGAGGGCACTGACAGCCTCAGGGTTTGCAGAGCAGTGTGCTCTGGGAAACCTCACTGGGGGCGGACTTTGTACAGGACACTGAGCACGCTTGCAGGGGCATTGCCTTTCTCAGATGTGTTCTATATGATCAGGGGCCACCATTAAAAAAGGGCATACAGGAATAATACGTGGAGAACAGATTTTTTAAATTAACAAAATGCAACATGATTTCTATGCTGCTTTCAAGGTTTTGAATACCAAAAGAGAGTGAAGTACGGAAAATGTTTTTCTAGAAAAATAATGAAGTGGAAAGAATAGCACAGTGGTAAGAGATTTTAAAGCCGGGTTGTCTGCTTTGCAACCTCTTATGTCTTAGCTTCGTGTGGTTATTAGCCTCTCTAAGTAGAAATTTCTTCATCTGTAAAATTAGGATAAAAATTTCATCTATTGAAAAGGAATGCTAGCTAGGAAGATTCGATGAGGCAGTATATAAGAAGCATTTAGCTCAGAATGTTGCATATGATAAGTGCTTAATAAATAGTTGTTGCTGGTATAATAATAGTAATAATAATAAAGAAGTATCTCCAGATTTAAACTTGAAGTACCCATATAAATTTCCAGCAGAGTCAATAGTAAAATAGGCCCCGTAGAGGTCAATTGGTTCACCCCATTAGGCAGAGAAGGAAAAAATTCAGCTTCTGAAGGTGACCATGTTAATACTTAACATTTCCTATCAGAAAAATAAAATTTGCTTTAATTTCCAGGCCTATTAGATAAGTGGGGTGGATTAAATAATTTCTAAGGAGCTTTCCAAGTACTAGAAATTTGTATTTGTAATGGCCACTGTCACCTATAAGTCAAATATGTTAGTCTCTAAATCATTGTCTTTCTTTCAGTGGGTATTTCTGTTATACTGGCTTCCATCCTGTCAATGAAAAACATGACCTGTAGGCTAGTTTGGAGGTTCAAGTGTTGTTGGTGGTTGTTTCCCCAGGTGTGTTCCGTGGCCTCAGAGACTGGGGCGGCTCTAGTCTGGCCTCAGTCTGAGGGTGGGTGACATTCCTGTCACTGAAGTTTGCCTGGACCAAACTTTCAGGCTTTTCCACTTTGAAAGAGAAGAGAAACATGATTTTGTGAAACATTAAAAGAAACTCATTGTTGGCTATAACCCTTTTTATTTTCCATGATATGTGCTATTTTACTGATAAAAGCTATTAGTCACAGGAGCCACTTTGTATTTCCCAATCCACCAAAGAGTAAGAATTAAAACTCAACAAAGGGCCTGAAATCTGTTCTTCGCATCCTCCCCGCCCACCCCAGATCCCGGTGCATTTGCTGGTTGTCCAGGAGATGGCACTGTTGTTTCAAAGGAGTGTCGTCGGTGGGGCCCAGAAGTAGACCTTGGGAAAGAACGGGTAATGGATGACAGCCAGTGGTTAACAGGGAAGCGGCTAGTTAAGTCCTGTTTAATGAACCTTGAGTATAAAGGCAACATAAGTTTAAATAATTGGCCCCTTCCATCATCCTTCCTAGGGGCAAACGTGAACATGAAGACCAACAACCAGGATGAGGAGACACCCTTGCACACAGCTGCCCACTTCGGCCTCTCGGAGCTGGTGGCCTTCTACGTGGAACACGGGGCCGTCGTGGACAGTGTGAACGCCCACATGGAGACCCCCCTGGCTATCGCAACCTACTGGGCCCTCCGCTTTAAAGAGCAGGAGTACAGCAGGGAGCACCACCTCATCTGCCGCATGCTGCTCGACTACCACGCCGAGGTCAACGCCAGGGACGAGGACTTCAAGTCTCCGCTCCACAAGGCAGCCTGGAACTGTGACCACGTGCTCATGCACATGATGCTGGAGGCCGGGGCCGAAGCCAATCTCATGGATATCAATGGCTGTGCGGCCATCCAGTACGTGCTGAAGGTCACCTCTGTGCGCCCTGCAGCCCAACCTGAGATCTGCTACCAGCTACTGCTGAACCACGGGGCTGCTCGAATATACCCTCCGCAGTTCCATAAGGTGAGGCCGGGTCCCTCCAAGCGACTCAAGCCTGTTTGAGGCTTGATCCTCTACCTGACTTTCTGTTTACATGTATAACCTTAGCTATCTTATCCTAGTCCAAGTTTGTTTGAAATCTGGGGCTGAGAGCAGGGAATGAGGACAAGAGTGGCAGATAATCTTCCCTGTCTTGTGGAAGCCACCAACGAACTGGTGGTGGCTTCCTGAGGGACCGAGTGGAGGAAGATCAGAAGGCCAGCAGAAGTCTGCAGGACAGGGGGATGGTGTCGGACTAGCATATACTTTCTGTCTCCAGCCCAATGTCTGATCTAAAGATGACTGTCAAAATTAGTTGACATGAAAGGGCCATTCAGTTTTCCAGCCTAGTGAAAGCTAATGTTTATTGACTACTAATAATTAGACTTTCAATTTTCCAGTTTAGTGAAAGCTAATGTTTATTGAGTACTAATAATTATACTTATTATATATGAATTCTACTTACTAAGCATGCTGTTATAAGCATTTTACAATTTTTATTTATGCATTTCTCATTTTTAAATTTAATTCTTCTAGCAACCTTATGAAATAAACAATATTAGTATCCTAATCTACAAAGGAGGAAATTGGGGCATAGAATAGTTAAGGAACCTGCCTGACCTCACAGAGTGGCAGTGCCAGGATTCAACCCGACATCCTTTGGTGCTAATATCTGTTCTTGTAATATCATACTGCACAGCCTTTATTTTTAACAATATGTATTAATACTCTCTAGTGGGGAGCAGAAACCAGATGCTAACAGGCTGATATGACTAAAACGTGATACCTACTTTCAGGTAGCTTAGAATCTAGTGGGAGAGGCAAAGACTTAAAGAGATACTTTTAATATGCCATGGTAAATGACAGGCAAATGAATTAGGTTGATGATGGTAATTAATATGGAAGCCGAAATGCATTTCACCTTAAAATAAATCAAATGACACCATACCTAAGCTCTCAGTCATTCTAAAAAATTAATTAGCAGGAAGCAGAGGAGTTTCAGGTATAAACCAACTGAGTAATGTAAGGCCACAGAAAGCTAGCTGACAGAGAGTTTTACTAAATTCACAGTTAAGTTCTACAGCCTCCCTTGGTAAAATAGCAGAACTGGTCTGATGTTCTGCACTGTGAGGCTTAGTTGGAAAAAAAATTACAATAAATAATTTAAGGGGAGCCCTAGTTGGTGTAGCTCAGTGGATTGAGTGCGGGCTTGTGATTCAAAGGGTTGAGGGTTCGATTCCCAGTCTAGGTCACATGCCTGGGCTGTGAGTCAGGTCCCCAGTAGGGGGTGCTAGAGAGGCAACCACACATTGATGTTTCTCTCCCTCTCTCCTTTCCTTCCCCTCTCTCTACAAATAAGTAACTAAAATTAGAAAAAAAGAATTTAAGGGGCGCGCACTCAGTCAGGGCAAATTCCAGACGGACAACCCTGAGAATGTTCAGATGTGGATATGACATCAGTGAATTTTGTGATCTCATAAGGATTTTTTCTTGGTTGTCAGTATTTTAATGGATGACTAAGTCATTTGCCCCTTAGAATTATATGTAATACTCAAAATGTTCTGGAACATTATAAACTTTTTAAAAGAGAATTCTAAGTGATCATGATGAGGAGGAATCCAAAAATAAACAATAACTTACAACAATGTCTTTTGTTGAGTTCTAAATAGGCTTTACATAGATTTCATTTTAATTTTATAACTTCTGTGATAGGTAGTGGTATTATCTTCATGTGAAAGGTGATAGCATTGAGATATTCTCCTAAAGTCACAGAGAGGAAGTGGTCAAGTTTGTTCACTTATTTATTTTGATAAATATTTGCTGAATACCTACTATGTGCCAGGCACTGTTCTGGGAGCTGGAGATAGAGCAACAAACAACAGCAATAACACAAAAGGCCTTCATGGAATACACTCTCTGGTGGGAGACAGAAAAAAACCCCAAAATAACAAACAAATAAGTATACTCTGATCTGTTTGGTGCTATGGAGAAATGTAAAAAAGGTAAAGAAAATAAGAGAATGACTTTTTTTTGGTGTTTGTATATGTGCTGCTTTACAAAGGTGATAAGAGAAAATAAGGACATGAAGGAGTGAGTCATGTGAATGCCTGAATGGAGGGAAAAACATTGAGGTATAAGAAAAGCAGGTGCAAGGAACCTGAGCTCGGAGAGAGCTAAGCATGTCTGTGGAAGAGCAGGAGGCCGGAGTGGCCAGAGAGGAGTGAGTCAGGAAGAGGAGAAGTCAGAGAGCTGTATATGAGCATGGTTTACGGACCACATACATGGCCTTGTGGGCTGTGGTCATGTCCTTGGTTTTTGACACTGAATGACATAGGAAGCCAGTGAAGGATTTTGAGTTGGGAAGTATAGTCTGATTTATATTCCACAAAGATCTTTTTGACAGCCTTTTGGAGAATAACTCTAGCAAGGGCAAAAGTATTGCAAAAATCTGGGTAAGAGATGGGGGTGGCTTACACCCACAGTGGACATGGTGAACGTGGTCAGATTCCCGGCCTGTTTGAAAGAGGGAGTCATTGAGTTTTGCTGATTGATTATCTGTGGGCTGTAAGGAGAAAGAGAAGAGTCGAGGATAACTTCGAGGATTTTCACCCAAGGAATCTAAAGAATCAAGGGGACATTTCCTGAGGTAGAAACAAGGCAAGGGGGAGCTGATTTTGAAGAAAAGGTCAGGAGTTCTGTTGTGACTGAGGTGCCTACATCCAGGTGAATATCAAGTAGGCAGTTTTAAAAAAAAATTATTTATTTTTTAGAGAGGGGAAGGGAGATGGAAAGAAATATCAATGTGTGGTTGTCTCTTGTAACCCCCCACTGGGGACTTGGCCAGCAACCCAGACTTGTGTCCTAGACTGGGAATTGAACCAGCAACCCTTTGATTCACAGGCTGGCACTCAACCACTGAGCCACACCAGTGAGGGCCTCAGGTAGGCAGTCTGATGTATGAATCTGGTGTTCAGGGAAAGGTCCTGGCCTGAGGTACAAATTAGGGAGTCTTCATCATGAGTACAGTATGGAAAGCCAGATGCATTAAACAAATGGTGGCTGGAACTGTTGTTATTACTGCATGTCTGCTGTGTAGTGGGATCAGTACGTCTGGGTTTGGTTTACCCACAGGGGCCTTTCCAGCCAGGAGAGGCAGCATTTGAGATTGTCTAGAGACTAAACATTGAACTTTCGTCTGAAACCCACTGCTGGTTGCCTGTGGGTGGAACCAGTCTCTGCAAAAGCAACTAAAAGACCATCTTTCCTTATTCTCCTTGAAGGGCCAGATAAGAGAGGAAGAGCCTTCAGACAGAGTTTCCGTTCTCCAGTAAATGTGAGGGAGGCCCCTGAGTTCCTTTCACAAGAGCAGTTCTCTGAGAGGGAACGGCAAGGAGGGCTGGGACAGAGGCTTAGTAAGCAGGTGCATGTGCTCTGGCTTGGCCACTTAGTAGCTGAATGATTTTTTAAAACAAGTTCCTTGATCTCTCAGATCCCAGTTTTCTCATCTGAAAGATGAAGGTAAAAATACCAACTTTTCAGGGTTGTCCAACAAGGAATAGGTGAGTAAGGCAAGGAAATTGTTGAGCCTGGTAATGCTGTTCAACAAAGATTGTTTCCTTCCCTCCTCCGCCCAGAACGAACCCTTGTCCACTGTAGCAGCCTCTCCCGTAGTCGTGGGTGGCTCCCCCAGCTTGGACAGGAGGCCTACAATTATGTGTTCCAAGGAACACTCTGTTTACCATTAGTGTGTTCTTATCAGTTCTGTTTTGTTCCCCTGAGTTCCTCTACTGGGTTCATATGTGAAAGAGACTTAGAATAGAGTTGGTGGCCATGGGTGGATGGCTGGTATCATAATCATTTTGTTGCTACCAACAGCATAAGAGGACTGGCCCCCTTCCAAACCCAAAATGAAGAAAACCTATTCAATTTACTATGCAGATGCTTTGCAGTGATTTAGAACAACTTCTCTATAGCCCGACTTTCCAAAGACAAAGTCATCTTTACAACAAGTCAGCGACTGGCTCATTTATCCAGAAGATAAAGTGATTTGTTCTCTTGTGGGTAGGGAATTTGGTTTCCTTATTTACAAGGAATAAGGTCAGAGCTGAAGATGCTGTCTGCCAAATACAAAGCACATTTGTAGAGGGTGTATTTCACCGAAAGGCAATGTATAAATTACATAAGGTGGGGGGAAAAGAACTATATGGTCGGCAATTGCTTTCCAGGGTACAAAAGGACATTTGATTTTTTTTTCTCAGCATAATTCAGAAAGAAGTGACACCCCAGGGAGCCAAGATTGGGTTTTCAGGTAGGGCGAGAAAGATATTTTCCCAGGGGAGGGAAAGGTGTGTGAGGGTTTGGGGCCGGTGCGGATGGCTTCTGCTGTTGAACAATGCTGGGTGTGAAGCCCAGGGCACAAGAAGTCTCTTTGATTAGCAAGTGCCTGTCTGCACACAAATATGTTAATATAACAGCACAGAAGCAGCTTTAGAATGTTTCTAAACATTCTAAATGGATGTGTGAAGTGGCTTAGTATTGCTACTTGTATTGGAAGGGCGGCACCTGAACCTATTTGGCAATCTACGCTTTTCGGTGTCAGATGAACGGAGGTATCTAAAAGTCTCTCCAGGTGCCACCACTGTAGAAAGAGCTTCTTCTGACTAATTGTTCTTCTATGAAGGAAGAGACACCAGGGGCATACAGAAGGTGAAGTTCTTTGGGCATCTTCGGTTTCTCAGACCAGGAAATGGAAGCAGAAGCTTCTCCCTTCTGGGTGCATACCAGTCCTTTCTCAAAGTTACTGGTAGTCAACACCTAGTGATGATGTAGAGTTTGCTGTCTCTCAACTGTTTCTGAAGGGTGTTTGTTGTTGGTGGTGTTGGTTTGTGAAATAATTACGGAGGCCTACAGGTGCGTCTAGCTGCTTAGTTCTGGAAGGAGCCTGACGTGCCAGTGAAGACAGCTGGAACACTGCCAGGCCGAAGGAGCCTTTCGTGCTGTAAGACCCGTCTCGAGTCAGCAGAAAACTTAGTTATCAGGGTCAGCAAAACCTACTGACAGCAGTGGGAGCTTTGGAGTTCGTGCGTCTAAAGACTGCAGGTTAAGAACTACTTGATTTTTTTTTTGTCTTAGTGAAAGGTGAGAAGTTATCTCCCTGTGATAGATGGGATTAGGCCAGGTGTGAGTCAGAGCACCAAATCTGTGAAGTTGGGCTCCTGACCTGTGAATGAAGTACGTTCCTGTGTCCGTAACTTAGTTGAACATTTTCTAAACAGGGACTAGGCGTAGGATTGCCCGGTAAAATATGGGAGGCTCGGTGAATCTGAATTTCAGATAAATTGTACGTAATTTTTAGTATAAATATGTACCATGCAATATCTGGGATGTATTTATACTAAACAATTACTGTTGTCTATCTGAAATTCAAATTTAATTGGAAAACCTTTACTATTACTACTTGCTAAATCTGGAAAGCTTAGTTGGGAAGTAGGTAATATGTTGTAAGAGGAGAGTAACTTCTATTCACATCTTTTGTGTCTCTTCAGTGTTGGCAAAAAAGTAGAGGCAAGGAACGCCTAAGGACAAAGTCCCTGTGTCACTGTGTGGGCACTGCATCTTTAAATGTGCCCACTGTAGCTTCCTTGAAGAATGAGTGGGGTTGCCCTGGCTGGTGTGGCTCAGTGGATTGAGTGCTGGCCTCAAAGGGTTGCCGGTTCAATTCCAGTCAGGGCACATCATGCCTGGGGTGTGGGCTAGGTCCCCAATAGGGGGCACTTGAGAAGCAGCCACACATTGACGTATCTCTCCTTCTCTTTCTCCCTCCCTTCCCCCTCTCTAAAAATAAATTTAAAAAATTTTAAAAATGGAAAAAAAGACTGAATAGGGCTTAGGAATTTATTTATGCAGAGCATAGAAATCAGTTTTCTGAATGGACAGCTAAGCCATGTACAGAGCCTCATTACAAACTTACTGCTTTCTTCATGCTTTTTGTGTTTATAATGCTACTGTCAGTATATTCTTGATTCAATCTTTGGGTTAATTTCAGTCATCATCTCTATACGGGTAACTCTCAAATTTAAATAATTATTTCTGGGTTGCTCAGGCACCAGGGCCCATCCTCCGGAAAGGACGTGTCTGCAGGTCTTTAGGGAAGAACATGTATGGGGGTCTGGGTGGGTGCTATTTTCACATGATTCACAACATCTCTGCCTTCACCAGGGAATTCTTTTGAAATTTCAACAAGATACAACCTAAAATAATTATGGAAGAGATTGTTGCTTGTCTTAACATATCTGTACGATGGGACTTGTGTCCTTAAAACATTTCACCAGTCATTGCCAAGGATTAAAATAAGATCGTGAGAATATATTTGAAAGAGCACTACATTCAGATGAAGAAAACCCAAGACCATGCTTCCTCTTACTGTACCTCTCTGGGTTTCAATTCCTTTAATCTGAAATTAGGAAGATTGGATAATCTCTAGGGTCCCTTGCAACGCCAACATTCTCTGGTACCCTGATTATAGTTTATAACTAGTGTTCAAAGCAATTAGTCAGCCTCAGGTTTTCTCTGTCTCTTTTACACAGAGCTACATAATGCCATCCTCATCTCGGCTGCAGAGAAACGAGCAGCTCCATTTGTCTCAATTTTCCAAAACCAAGGTCCTGGAAAATTACCTGCCAGCCCTGACAGCCACGAGCTCAGGCAGAAATCCTCTAGTTACACTTTCTAGAGGCTCAGAAATGCTGACTCTTCAGAGGTCCCATAGCGATGGATCTCTCGCTCCAGCCCACCTGCTTACGTCATATAGATTGATGATGCCGATTCCTTTATTTGTTTAGACCTGACTGAGAAAGCCGTGCTCAGCAGCTTAGTGTTGTGCTCTGTGCCCAGAATATGTATGTGAATGGGTCATCTCATTAAACAAGTGTTTATGTTTTGCTTATTCGGACCAGCCCCTGGACAGGATGATTCTGATACCTTCACTGGTCTGGAGCTTCAATGCATACATTCAGTCTGCCATGGCTTAGGACTGTGCTTCTTAAAGACCGGGACAGCCGGAAGCATCTGTGTGCTGGCATTGGCTCCTCATTGCTCATGAGAGCTGACTGTTACATTCTGTGAGCTTATTGTTAAACACAACCATTGTCAAAATTAAATCATATAAACCACTGAAGTATACTAAAAACAAAGGTAATAAATATTCAAAACACTGTACCTGCTAATTAGTTTACTCTGCGTATCTATGCTGTTGATGTTATTTGCATCTATTATGTCTGTTTGAGGGAAACACTGTATAATGTTACTGCACACTTCCCCCCAACCACACACTCAGTGACCTCACGTTGGTAGATTCAAATTCCTCAGACCATGGTCCTCTGTCTTTTCCATTTATTCCCTCTGTTGAGCCCCATAACTTTAGCCAACAACACATTCTTTTAAAAAAGATGTTATAGAGAGGGGAAGAGAGGGAAGAAGAGAGGGAGAGAAACATAGATGTGAGAAATATTGATTGGTTGCCTCTTGCACACCCTCCACTGGGGACCTGGCCCACAACCCAGGCATGTGCCCTAACTGGGAATTGAACCTCTACCTTTCCATTTGCAGGCCAGCACTCAGACCACTGAGCCACTCCAGCCAGGATGCCAGCACGCTCTTTGATGGTGCACAGATCACCTTCACCTTCGCCTGCTGCTGGAGCATCCACCATGCACATGTTTGACTGCCACTGAGACACTGCATGTGCAATACCCTCCTGCTCACTATCTACTCATTTCCAAATTAGTCTGCCCTTCCAATTTCCTCATTTCAATCAGTGGCACCCCTCTTTGTCCTTCATCTCAGATCTCAAAGTTGCATTCTTTATTCCCCATATCTGATTAGTCAATAGGCCCCACTTATTCATTCTCAAAGCTTCAGTTACCCTTTATTCTCACGATCAACAGTGACGCCAGCTGAGCAGCCATTGGGTGCATCCCAGTGAGCCTCCTCCCTGCTCTCTGCCCTGATACCCTTGTGCATTCCTTTGTGCTTCTGCTCATGGTACTCAAGGGACACTTGATCTCTATGGTCCCTTATTATTTTCTGGCTTATATTGCTCTCTAACTTCAAATATCTCTGTCTCTTCTTTTCAACTAAGTTGTAAACTCCCCAGAGACTAAAAGCAGGTTGTAAACTTTTCAGAATTATGACTGTAGTGCTGAACACAGTGCTCAAGAAGGCTTCATAATGGAATGAATTGAATATAGCATTGCTTTTCATTAAGAATATGCAATAGCCTCCTATTGCCTGTTAAGTCAATCCCAAGCTCTTCAGACTGGCATTCCAGGTGCACTGTCAGCTAGCTGGCTCCATCTCACCTGCTCTTATCTTTAGCTGTTTGGCATGGGCCCTCCAGTCAGGTTGACCTCCAACCAATAGACCTGGATACATACATACACCTAAATGGATATTAAACTGATAATCATCCCATTTCAGTTTTGCTGAAGGACCCAGGACATTATGTACTTACTACCACATCAAAAAATGCATTACTGGACCACCTGTGAAGAATGTGTAAACAAGGTCGGGAAAACCAGTTTTGTGGCCATTTGCCCAATGGCAATAGGTTGAGGTTGAGAAGGACCAGAAAATTAGGAAGAAATTTCGTTGGAGAAGATTAAGTGCAGAGGCATGCCTTCCCGCTGATGGAGGGCTAGAGGGGCTTCCTCCTCATCTCACGCCCAGTGAGGGAGGTTTTCAGAGGACTCCACAGAGAACTTGATTTGTTCTCTGAGGTTTCAAGGGAAAAGCGGAATTGGTGTGTAACTCACGCTGAGAAAATGTAAAGGAGAAAGTCTGTGGCTGAAGCTGCTTGTCTGCTGGCAAAGGGAAAAAGAAGTGATGAGATTGGGAGTCAATAATGCTTTTGCTGGTAATGTTAGGACAGAAGTACAGGTCCCCTTAGGACCGGTTGTGGTCACATTGAAGAGCCAGCTGGGTCACTTTGAAAAGAAAATAGGTCACACCCAAAGGACTTCTAGAGATAGGGCCATGTTGGCAGAGAGAAACTGGAGGTCTTCTGGTGGACACGGGTGCTGTGGGAAGGGTGAGGACTGTCAGGGCTGGATGTGCCTTTCATCAGGCTGCCACCTTCTTTGTCAGAACTTCTTCTTCACCTGCACCTGGGTGGTGAAGGACACCAGTTTGGTGTTATGAGTCCTCCCATCTGCCAAAGGGGCTGGTAGGGTGTGTGAATGCTAAGAGGCATGAGACATCTCAAGGGCTCCAAGGAACCCAACAGGTCTATATGCTCATGGTGTCTCTGGAAGTGGAGTAAATGAATCTTATGTGTGCATTAAACAAGAGAAACTTTGTGCTTCATCTGCAGGTGATACAGGCTTGCCATTCTTGTCCCAAAGCCATCGAAGTGGTAGTCAACGCCTACGAGCACATCCGGTGGAATGGGAAGTGGAAAAGGGCTATCCCTGATGATGACCTGGAGGTAAAGAGTCTGTGCCCTTCCTCTGGTTTTCCATGTAGAGTGCTTCCAGACTGCAAGGGATGTGCAGAAAATCCTAATTAAAAAATTGGTTTTGAGGATGCTTTTAAGACCGCCTCACCTGCAAGGCAGAGTGTTATAACAACAAGGCATAAAGGGCAGAGATGCATCAAGAGCATGGCACTTGGGGATGTCTCGAGAGGTTTGTCCACTTAAGGGTACATCAGACAACTATATAAAGGTGGCAGCTTTACTTTCTTCCCATCAATTTAGATTAATGAAACCATAATAACGTTTGAGATTGCTCATTCAGTATTTACCAGAAGATTACAGTAAATTATTTCATGTAGATTATTTCATTCACTCTGAAATATCTTGAAGCTGTTGGTAGGCAGGAAACTGAGCAGAGCTGACCCTCGAACAACACGGTCCAAGCCGCACGGGTGCATTTATTTATACACAGACGTTTTCCATCTTGTACACAGATGATGTAAACTCATGGTGTGGATAAATATGTCCAGTACTGTACATGTATTTTCTCTTCCTTATGGTTTTCTTAGTAACAGTGTATTTTCTCTAGATTACTTTGCTGTAAGAATATGGTATGTAATATGTGCAACATACTAAATACATGTTAATTGACTATGTTATCAGTAAGCCTTCCAGTCAATAGCAAGCTATAATAGTAGTTAAATTTGGGGGGGAACAAGAGTTACATGCAGGTTTCTGACTGCACAGGGGGTTGGCGCCTCTAACCTCTGTTGTTCAGGGGCCAACTGTGTTAAAAACCCTGCGAAGGGTCATAGAGAAAATGACCGACAAAGCTGAGTCCTCACTCTACATGTGGACTCTGCTGCCTTTGTGAGCCAGGTCTTCCACCGAGCCTCCTGCTCTGGGCTTTAGCAGTCACAGGCTGTCTTCAACATGTGGAGAGGTATCAGCTACAGAGTGCAAAGCTCATTGGGTTTGGAGGCCAATGACTTAGGTTCAATCTGATTCCGCCACTTATTAACTATCTTACCTTTTAAAGGGCACTTAACCTGCCTTAGCCTCATTCACTGATAAATTATCTAAATGTGTGGGTCACGCTGGGCTCATAAAGAGTTGGCAATAATATTTAGACTAATTTAAAATTGTGATTTGGGTTTACAGTGCTCCCAGCACATCATGTAAGTGTATGTTGTCTCCTTCTGTGGGTTCTGAAGTGTATGTAGAGTATTATGCTCCCTCTTCTCGCTCATCTCCTTACAGACAGCCCCCTCGGTTCCTGGACATCTCTCAGTTTCAAGACCCCAGAAAGCTGCCATTTTGTATAAAGTTGGGCCAAACTTATCATCGCCAATGTCTCTGGATGGAAACTTTTCTGACTGTAATCTGTCTCCCCTTGTTTTTCAGAGGTACTGGGATTTTTATCACTCTCTCTTCACGGTGTGCAGTAACTCTCCGAGGACTCTCATGCATTTATCGAGATGCGCCATTCGAAGAACGTTACACAGCAGATGTCACAGAGCAATTCCTTTGCTTTCCCTCCCACTGTCATTGAAAAAGTACTTGCTTTTAGAGCCAGAGGGAATCATTTATTAAGTCTTACGAGGCAGAGGTTCTCAGTCTCAGATACTTAAGTGGACTCACCAGATAGACACAGTTTACATAAATAAAATGGTACTTGGGTTGTTTATAACATGTCAGGGAGTTCAAAACACTTCACAAACACTCTATCATTAATCTTAGGGTTTTGTGATGGGGGGAAATAAACAAGAAATAAAGTTGAGGCCTTCTCAAAGACGAGAATATAACCAGAAGGTACAGACCTAACAATAATAGCTAGCATGGACAGGTGCTCAGTTACTAGGTGCCTGCTATATTTTTGTACAAATTTTCCTATATTATCTCATTTGAAATGGGACCCAGAATTTCTTACAACCCATCTCCCTTATCATTGATAAGTTTACATTACCATTCAGTTGGCAGAAGAGCAGGCTTTGTGATTGGCCTCTCAGTCTTGGTGCCTTCCCTGCATTCCCACTTCTCAGAGATTACTGCTGCTCATTTTGCAAACTCCTGTCCCCACACCAAGCTCCTCAACTTATTCTTAGTGAAGAAAGCAGGTGAGCATCGTCAAACAAGGAGATCTTTGAGTCAACTTAGAAATGGAAGACAAAGACCAGTCCACTTGATGGTCAAAAATGGACATTTCAACACACTCTCATTGAGCCAGAGACCGGAGGCAAAGACAAGCCCAAAGCAAGGACTCCTGCCCTCCAGGATCTTACAGTTTAGCAGAGGATCCGACACACAGGCAGGGAACGGCCGCATCAGATGTCAGGGGCAAGAGTACAGGTGCTGACTGATTCATAGCGCTTGCCCTTCACAGTCACGTTTCTGACGTGAAGGGTGGTTTTCTTTCAAGCATGAAGATAAAGAGTGAAGGGACTGTATGAAGTAGGGGGCTCTCCTGCTGCTGTGCGTAGGAATATAGTCACTTTAAGCTTCTCCGGCCATCTCGCTGTTGTTTTATTTTAGTATGCTTCCCTGTGTAGTGTGAAGGGAAAGGCTTCAGCTGATTATATTGGTCTTTTTAGATAACACACTGACATTTCAGAGCATTTTAGCTGGAAGGTATGGAGCACTTTGCTAGCAATGGTTAGTTACAGAAGGCAAATTAAGAAGACCTTTTGGAAAATGGTAATTTTTGAAAAAATTGCAAAGATAAGTGTGTTAGACAGGCTTGTTAGTTAGTGGTTTGCAGAAAGAAAAGTACGGTTGATGAACGCCTGGACCTCATGGTTTATGAGGTCAACCTGCTTCCCTGCTTTGCCCTTGTGCCTCACTTAGTGTTGCTTTTTAAATGTCAGGGCAGATGCCATTCAGCACAAACAAATCAATTTGCCAGCTGTGAGCAGGTTTCTTTTACTTGTGTAGTTCTCCATCTTATTTAACTTTACATGCTTGAGTTTTGGGTAGAGATGATGTTGAGTACTCCACTTAGAACGTGCTTCTAAACTGGGATTCTCCTACTCCAGGTGCCATGTAGAAGAAATCATAGGTGGATACAATAATCTTGCTGAAATACCAGTTTTACTCAAATATTAGGGGAGAAATATGTTGTACTTAAACAAGACCTATATGATGGAATAGAATGCTAAATCTGTATGAACTTTACATAAAACACGATCGTTCAGAGAACAGTTTGCTTGCATCAAGTCCTTAGAACCCAGCATGGAATGCTGGGTGGAGGTTCCTGCTGCCCTCCCCCTCAGGAATGCCCTGGCAGGCAAGTCTGTGCTGCGCCGACTGAGGCAATAGAACTGATGCTGCGGACAAAGACCGACAGACGACCCTCCTTCCATGGGAAATAACGCTCCTCAGTTTGCTTGCTTGCACTTAAACCTTCTGTGTTAACCTAGGCTATGATACGTGACTCCTTGTTTCCCATTGTTTATTCATGTATTCAAAGTTATTTTTCCTCATCTTTGGACTTTTATTTAGAGGACTTAAATAAAGCTCTCCTGTTTCTTTTCATCTTTGTGTGTCGTCTGTTTACTGAGAAGATTTTTTCCGAACTGAATTTTCAGCAGTGAGACTGAAACATTCTATATCAGGGGTGTCAAACTCATTTTCACTGGGGGCCACATCAGCCTTGTGGTTGTCTTCAAAGGGCCGAATGTAATTTGAAGACTGTATAAATGTAACTACTCCTTAACTGGGGGCGAGGAGCTTGGTGCTGCTGCCGGGTAGAAACAAGGTGGAGGGCTGGACTCGGCCCATGGGCCCACCTGTGTTCTATATTTATCATAACTTTATTCAATGTTTAGAAAGAAAAAGACAATGAGGAGATGTTCCTGGAAATATATAATATTTTCAGAAAAATGAAAAGGATAAGCACAAGACACAGGCCATTATGATAGGAACAAGTATGTTTTAATAGCAATGAAGAAATTGTAGAGCCAGTCTCTCCCGCCTACCACCATCTGACTCCTCCTGGTGATTCGTTTCCCTCCCTTCACAGCATTCACACCGTCCTGGGCAATAGCCACAGAGGAAATTATATCCTCAAGACGCTTCTGTTAGTTTCTGTCAATAGTCATTTAATGGGAGGGAGGGAGCACCTCCCTCGGCCCTTTGTCCTTAAGGGCTTTTAGGAATAGAAATTTTAGGGGAGGACCCAGGGGAGGGTTTCAAAAGAATATTCATCAGCTTTCCAGGGAAAGGGTTGTGGTCTCCACTGATTGGTAGGTGCTGGGGCAGGGCAGCTGGTCCTGATGTCAGCTGTGGTGTCCCTTGTCTGGTTTTGCTGCTTTTCCAGGTCTGGGGCTGAAACACGACTGAGGCCTAGATGTTATCTCTAGGGCTTAATGTTTAAGAGAGAGTGGTAATTCAAGAGCTCATATGAATGTCCTATGAGGCTATTCCATCCCTTGTTTTAGCTCTAAGGGGGTCTGAAACCACATGACTAGCCATATATTGGGGGAAGGTCTGAATTGCAGGACTGGCAATATGAAAGGTCAGGGGGTTGAAATAGCTATATGCTAGGGGAGGAAAGGTTACCCTGGGGGCGAGGTCCTTGTTTCCCCAGTTGCTAGGTCCCTGGTGCCTTCTACCCTGGTGACCTTCTGTACCTGGCCCATTGTCCTTGCCTTGCTTATGTCTGTATAACTGCCTGCCATAGTTTCTCTTTGTCTTAGGAGATAAGACAGATAAGAAAGGATGCTCCTCTCTCACGGGAAGGTTTTATGACCAGTTTTAGGGGTGAAGGGGTAGATGTCAGAGTGACCTTTCTCCTGCTTTCTCAGACTCCTTCAGCTTAACATAATCAACGTGCCAAGGTGCCAGATACGGGGGTAGTGTGTCCTGAACCCTATCAGAGGGTTAAACTGTTAATGCATTAAATCACATAGAACAGAACATGATATTCAGTAAGCATTTTACTGTTACTATTGTCCTTGTTGTTGCCATAATCACAATCACTTAGGGAGAGGTTTCTACCAGTGAGGTAATATAGTTGTAAAGTGAATCTATAGCTGAAGGTGATACATGGTCACTTTCCATTCACTTTGGGAAGTCCTTGTTGAATTCCCACCATGTGCTAGGCACCTTGCAGGCAGCTTGGAATCAATGGGGGAATACAACAAACCAGGTCCTGACCTTCTTGGGCTTTTTGAATTGGCAATGGAGGTGAAATTAACACAGATGTGGAGGAAGTGGCAAACAGGCAAATTGATTACTTTTTGCAACTTTGCCCTTTTATAAATGGATTTATCAAGAATGCAATGACTCCTTTTACTATTTCTTAAAGGCTGTGGAGTCACTTGAAAATTTATCACATGGACAGAGAGGTTGATCAGCTGTTTCTAACTTTAATGAGGGAAAGAGGAGGAAGACACTAACTTTGTAGCAGGAGGAGTACAGATTAGCAATGAGACTCCTAGCAGTAAGGGTCATTGTACATTAGAAAGAATGAACAGGAAGGGTTGGAGAAATTCATTCAATTATTCTGTCACTTTCAAGCATTTATTCAATACTAATACACATGTGGTTCTATGCAAAACGCAGAAGGAAGAGAGAAATGCTGATACCAAATCACTGGAAGACTCATTTTCAGTAGCTGAAAGATTTTTTTAATTGGTTTTGCCAAGAAGTAAGAAAGGAAGCATACAGTTTTTTTTAAACTAGACACTACCTAACTGAGCTATTTTTCAGTCAGCTACTATAAAATGGTTGATTAGAAAGGACTTTCAAGACCTATATTTCAGTGATAAATCTCCATCTTCATATTTTTGGTCACACCTGTCACCATTGAGAAGCATTGAATGAAATATGCAAAAATGTCCTCCAAGAAGCAGTTGATCTTCTCCCTCCCTTCCTTCCTTCCTTCCTTCCTTCCTTCCTTCCTTCCTTCCTTCCTTCCTTCCTTCCTTCCCAACACTAAGTGGATTAGGTAGGCTTAAATTTCTTCTTATAATTGATTTTCTCAGGTACAGATATGCTTTTGTGATAGCAACTATGCCAATATATGCTAATCCAGCCAAGGAAATAAAATAATGATTCCCTCTTGCATTTCCTAAATTATAGACAACAGAGGATTAATTTTAAGTGCTTATGAAGCAAAGAAGAATTAACAAAATAGAATTATCATCATGGGGCTTTTCAGAAGATCTTAGAAGTCATAAATAGGTACCAGGAGGCTTCCTCAAAGTCCAGGAGTTCAGATACTGAGCAGAATAACAAGACAGGACATTTACTCGCTGCCCCACCCCACAGTGGGGGAAACCTGAAAGTCGGTGTTGAGTGACAGGAGGTGGGAACCAATGGAGGTTACAATCAATTTGATTCAGGAAGCAAACCATACAAACTAAACTGACCTTCTAAACACAACACCCTTCCCTCTCTGGGTCCTGGCAGGATGACTTCCATTGGTTTTATCGGCTGAACTCTTCCCCCTTGGCTTCTTGGTGGATTCAGTCTGTCGGAAGACCAGCTGGGACTGAAGAACAGGAGGGGACAGATGAGGACACTTCCTGGCTACTTCCCTGGTGGGCTTCCTCTTGATAGTGGCTGGATTCCTTTCCCAAGACCACAGCTCCTATCAGGAGCCCTTCTTCTAAGCTTTGTGATTCTCCTTGGGTTATAGTAACTGCTTCCTCCACTCATTCCTCCAGACCTAGGGGTGGTCAAGGCTTCCTCCTGTCACCTTTGTCCTAGGTGCTTCAGCATTCTTTGCTACCTACATTTTTGTAAATACTCCTTGATGAAATGCTCTTCAATCTCCCCTACTCAGTGTGCAGGTCACTTTCTCTAAGGATCTTCACCGATGCACAAACACATATAAGACTGTGACAAATCAGGGAGAGCTTTGGTGCTGGTGAGTGCTGTTGGCTTTGAGAGACGACAGAGGTCACTGTGGACCAGCTGTCTGGCAAGTGGACTTGAGCTATGAAGGGCCGGGTTTGGGTAACTTGAGTAAGAGTAGGCAGTGGAAGGGGGTGGCATTTAAGGTGAGTAGCCTCAGTCAAGGGATAGAGCCAGAATATACAGTAAGTATTCATTATCACCAATTGAAGTAGAAGATAAACATCTGTTGTAGAGGATGCGATTAACAGGGCTGGGTAGGTTCAAATGAAAGGTCTTGAACCACAGGGAAGCATGTGGGAAACCAATGGAATATTATTATTATTATCATAATCACTCTCTTTCCCACCTTATAACTTTCATACTAGTAATAATTATGGTAAAACTACAAAACATTCATATAATATTTTATAATTTTCAGAGTCTCTTCATGATGCTTAATACAGATAACCCTCCTTTATTATAACCATACACTCTCTTCCATACAAAGAAAAAAAATGCAATTCTGGCCCTGGCTGGCTTAGCTCAGTGGATTGAGCGTGGGCTGCGAACCAAAGTGTCGCAGGTTCGATTCCCAGTCAGGGTACATGCCTGGGTTGCAGGCCATGACCCCCAGCAACCGCACATTGATGTTTCTCTCTCTCTATCTCCCTCCCTTCCCTCTCTAAAAATAAATAAATAAAATCTTTAAAAAAATGCAATTCTGAAGATTTAGATATGAAAAAGATATGTAAACATGACATTAATTAACCCTTTTCTTCTCATGTAATATCTTCCAATCACATGGACAATTTACTCCAGCTACTGGTTGGGTGGCTCAGTTGGTTGGGGCATCATCCTGCACATTAAAATGTTACGGGCTCAGTCCCTGGTTGGCGTGTGTGCTAGAGGCAACCAGTTGATGTTTCTCTCTCACATCGACGTTTCTTTCACTCTTCCGCTCTCTCTAAAATCAATAAAACATCCTCAGGTGAGGATTAAGAGGAAAAAAAGGATTAGAATCTTGCATCTTTTAAATATCAAAAGCTAAATAATTTTTTTAACTGCATAAAAAAAGAAAAAAGGAACTTTCTCTTGCAGCACTCTAGAGCAGTGGTTTTCAACCATTTTTATCTCATGGCACACATAAAATAATTACTAAAATTCTTTGGCACACCAATAAATATATTTTTGCCAATCTGACAAAAAAGTAGGTATAATTTTTATTAACTCCCACCAGACAGCCATATTTGTGTTGGCTCTTCTCATTTTTTTAAGTTTGACAATCTGAGGGAAGATAAGTCAGTGCCCCTGACTAAATACACAAGTATTGAATGTTTTAAAAATTCTTGCCACACACCAGTTGAAAATTGCTGCATTAGAGAATGAAGGAACAGAGGCAAAATCTGGAGTTCCAGGACTGCTTATAAGTCTCACCAGGGCAGTCAGCGCTCGAGTGATAAATTGCTTACAGAAGCACCACATCATTGCATCCTGCAGGGGCGCAGGGACTCCCAAGTACTGCTGAAGTCAGAGGGACAATGACAGGCTGCCTCTTAGGGTGGTCCGTTAGGGGAAGCTTAGGCAGAAGCAAATTGTTCCTAAGTAAGCTTTGGCTAGTTCTCAGACAGAAATACACAGAGAGAAAAGTCATTTTCTTAACCCAAGTGTCAATTTCTTTATTTGAATAGTGA